TAATTCTTCAATATTCAATTTTCATAAAAATTGACAACATAGGACCCCATAAATAAAAGATATTAATACTACTAACACAGTATGCTGACTTCCAACATGTATATTATACAAATTTTATATACGTATATTATTGTTAATTGTTATGTAATCGCTGCAATTTTAAATTCAAACGTGAATAATATTATATTTAATTATGCGTGGAAGGTTTAAACATGAAATAATATATCGATAAGTATGGTAACTAGTACTTACAATGTATCTATTAGCATAAAAATTAAAATTAAAAGTGATTACCCACTCTGTTTTATTTTCTAAAATTTAAATAATATAAAACCTAAAGAGGTGAAAAAGAGACATGAATTAAGGTTCCGGGCAATGAAGCGCATTAAAATTATTCTAAAATGTGAATATTTATACAAAAAAAAATATTTGATTATGAAAACCTAAAGATATTGGGTGTAGAATAAAACTACATTTGTTATTTATATTATGTTTATAATCACTTCAATCTATTAAAAAACAACATTTTTCCAAAAAAGTATGTTATTACTACTTTTTTTGTTATAATTTTTTAATATTTTTTTTAACGACAACATACATTTTTAATTTTACATTCCGAAATAGAAATAATAGAATATGAAATAAAAAATGCATGATGTCATCCAAAATAATGAAAAAAATTAAAAATTATAATGATAAAAATAGTAAAAATAAAATGTTTTCCGAGAAAATTATTTTGTAACGACTTGAAATTATGTATTTTTTTCATATGGTATATATATATATATGTTTTCTTAAACAATAAGTTTCTTACATTAAAATATTAAATATAATATTTCGTAGATATTTTAGTGGGTTAAGACTTAATCAGATTTATAAATTAAAACAAATTTAGGGTTAAGAGTACGCTACACCCGCTTCAGTGTCTCCATCTTATTGCAAATGCATAACAAATTATTCGGTCTGGATAATCCATTTAACTCACTGCAATGTGTTTAATATTACAGTGAATTTACCTATTATCAAATTTAAATGTAAGAATATAAACTAGTGATTCTAATACGCTTATTTTTACGTTTTTAATAATGAGCATTTTAAAATGTACAAATACTAATATACTAAGATATAAATACTTAGATAAAAATTTAAATATTTATCCATACCTAACTAGATATTTTTTTAATATTTTTTTAATGCCTGGACTCAAGCAGTCAATCAGCGCCACGTAATATTTAAACGTGAGAAATTATATTATATACATACCTATTACATTATGTTCCGCATTTCTTCTGTTTTCCGTGTAGAGTGTAAAAAGCTTTAAAACCTAATATAAATAGATTGTTTGGTAATATTACACTATTTAAAATCATATAATTTTCTTATGCAGTTTAAGCCATTTTAGCATTTATTTTATAATAGGTATTTAGGTGTATAATCTGATAGCAGGACTGGCTGCAGGTGAATATCTTAAGGAAGATACATATCAATATATTAATATATAGCATCATTGTCCATTTATAATAATAGTACGTACACTTTATGCACTTATTCGCATTAGATAAATAGTATATTCTTAGACGTTACAGGTGGTTCGTTACAGTTTGATTTTCAATAACGCTAGTAATAATAGGTAGGTATTCCATGTGATATAACCGATATGGGCACGTCATAAGGAAAATTACGATTTACGTATATCATCGTATGTATTGTACATAAACGTATACATGCAAGTTTGGAACTACCATTAAATGTGACACATATACACGAATTCGTCAAATAAGCGTTAGTATTGATTAAACCTTATTTTCATAAGGAGCTTATTATAATAATATATTAATTTATCAACACTACACGTGCAATGCGCTCGATCCCATAGTAAATAATATCTAATCGGTACTTCAGAGACGTGTGTAAAGTAGTTAGTAAACGGCATTGTAGTTAAATATTATAGCTAGGTGCATTATAGATAATATAATTACCTACATTACATAGGCTATAAACAGATTGAATATTATATTACTAAATCATAGTATATTTTAGTATATTATTCATCTACATTTACATTTACGTTTCCTGACAAAAACAATAAATATGAGTATGGGTACCTATTTTTAATGTTTAAAAATATAAAATATTTTTTCTTAGTATTTAAATATTACTCCATTATTATATTATATTAGTACATTAATTGTACTTTATTATAAAAAAATCGATACTAAAACTGTAATGTATTATTTATTATGTATATTTATTTTGCTTAGTGTATTAACTTTATTAAGTCCTTAAGCACACTATAAACAAAAGTGACTAACTTTTAGCTCATCTTGAAAATATAACAATTCCAAATGAAATTTTCATTTACCATGACAATTAATTGATCACGGGGATAAAACTTTGAAAAAGTTGGATTTTTGTTACATGTAAAAAGACACATAATCAAAAAATTGTACATATAATTTTCACAATTTTACGATGTAAAAGTCATGAGAGAATCAAGATTGAGTTTACATTTGAAGAAAAATAAATAATTGAAAATATTGTATTCTATAATGTAGTCACACTCTAATGTGTGAATACAATTTTATTGAACATTTTTGTTATTTTTCATTCAGATTTTTATACTAGAGTTATAAACTCTCTTAAAAGAGGGTTGGAAAATGAAGCAATTACGGGTTAAAGTTCCTTAATCCTTAAAGTATTTAATAGATAATATACATGTTTGTTTAATTTATAGGCTATTGGAAATAATTGTCTAAAATATTCACCAAATTTATAGGTCATGGTGATGTATTGCGACAAATATTACGTAAATTTGTTCAGCAGTATAATGTATTCAGTTAGTTTTAAAATTTTAAATCAAAAACCACTTGAATGTTTTATCAGTATACATCATATCATAGATATTATTGAATGCAATTATATAGATAATAAAGTTTTGAAATATTAATGTTAAAATGATGTTGTGATGTACACCGTAAGCGCTTAATATATTATATATTTAAAATTTTAAGAATACTAAGTGTATTGACACAATAAAAAAAATTAATAAATGAAAAAAAATGAAAAAAATATTTTATATTTAGGTATAGTAGCTACGTATTATTCATATTCAATTAAACTAACATAATTTGGTGAATTCGTTTTTAAAACTAACGTAGATAAAGATATTATAAATTTATATTATATTTCTATTATTTATGTAATTATAACAAAAAATATAGTGTGTCACTGACATATATACATTTATAGTAAATTATATATTTATACTTAAAGCAGGTATTTAGTAGAAGGTTATAGCCGTTCCAGACCATTGCGGTGAGATAGTGACCTTTCATTATTAGTATTATTATATTTCGTACACAAAAAACGAATGTAGAACACGTTTAATAAATAAAATAACTTTATTTAAACATAATAATATTATAGGTACACCGTACTCATATGTGTATACCAATATTTTGTTGCGCCGCAGCAGTTGGTTATTAAACTTAGAAAAGCGCAGTCATATTACTTATATAATTGTGTTTTATCCATCACGAATCTGAATTTTCTATTTAATTATCAATCATGCAGCGAATAATAATATTAGTGTAATAGCATTGTTGTTATCTTTCACTTCGTAACCTTGAAATAACTGTTGAATCGAGTGACATTGTTACAAAATTAAGGTTCATATTTATATAAAAGAATAAATAAAAAACGAACATATTATATTATGATATATAATATAATAAATATGTTATATTATACTAAACAATGTTTATATTTAAGTTTTTAACATGTAGGCACTTCAATGGAATAAAATTTATGCCCAAATGTTTTAACTTTATAAATGCTAAAGACACAAATTCTATATTCTTATATCTCGAGTATATTGACTGATACACTTACTTTTTCTACTTTTATATTCTTGAATAATGAATGCATTGATATTTTAAATGATTTTATGAAGTTCGAAACACACATTATAGTAAATTAATAATAGTCGCCACTGGAAGCAAATATCCTAAACCATCCAGATAGACATATCCTCGCATAACATTATAAACATCAACTAAATGTATAGAAAATAATAAATATAACTTTAAATTTATAAAATTTACAAGAAATATTAATTGCATTATTGTAACTTGCAAGGTACATTATAGATATTCAATACGGAAACAAATATTTTGGGAACCAAGTCTTCGATGCAATAACATGACTCTTTCCTATTTTTATTAATATATTAATAATCACTTTTAGATAAAGAAACCTGAATTATTATAATACTATTGGCTATCTTCCAATATGCAGTCTACCAAAAAAATATATGGTGTACCAATGAACGTAGTCCACCGTAGTAAAAATTATAGTATAATAAACGACTTACTTATCATGTTTAATTTGAACAATCTTACCAGGACCTCCAAATTGTTGCCTTTTTAAAATAGACGTTAAGATATGTCTCTATAGAAATTAATCTAGTCACAACCACATTTATGGTATTTTGTTGCACAAGATAGTAAACCATAATTTTGTTAGTATTTACTGTGGTGGATTCTTCAACCAACAAAGTGTTATAAAATTCTTTTACAAGTATTTCAGTCGGTTATCTATAAATTATAATCCATTAAACTGGTATTCAATTCTGTATACCACAAACGGCACTAAGTACTAACCCATCTAACTATTCTAACTATTTTTATGCTGTCAGTAAACTCACCTTGACACGGCACGCTTATGATTGGCGATGTAGTTCGGGTAGATTACCTTTAATTTTATCGATGGATTAAGAAGTAAAAAGATAAAATGTATAAAATGGTATAAAATACCAATGCGAACATTTGATCTATGGTAAAACACAAAACATTAGTAAACCGCATACTACACTTATATTTATAGTTAGATACCACAGAAAACAACGGTAGATCGTATATTGAGAGATGGCTATATTATAAATATTACATATTTACAAATATGTATAACATATTCGTAGGTATTTACATACATATTATTACCTATGTGGATAGAAGCATGATGCACGTCCGGTTTGTACCGCTTATGGAATTTGGAAACCGGATACTAGAGAATATTTGCACGACCATTTTTGAAAAAAAAAAACAATAACATGATCAACTATTGTGAACCGGATGACGCTACAAAATAATATTATATTAAAATTTATAATAACATCCATTAACACGTTCTGCACGTGATAATAATGTTGTATTGACTACACTTTACCTAATATTTTATTCAATCATTGTCATTGCGGTCGTATATGCCTGTATTCGATTTTTAATACGATACCTATTATGAAATAACCCAAAATGTGTTGAGTTTTGACGCACTAGGTAAAGCTTTTGTGAAGCTACCTCAATTACTTTACCCTTAAAATAATAAATCATCTGTAATTATTAGGACACAAGGAAATTAAAAGAACACAATATATTGTTCAAAATTTAAAAACAAGACGTATGTCAGTTAAATCTTTAGATTTCTTCATCATAAGACAATATAATGTCTATTGTTTAATTTAGAAACTTTTGAAAGAACAAATCCATTTTTTATTTTTTGTTTGTTTTAATTTACTATTGTTTTTAAAACATTGAAAACTTATCAGATTGTACCGACTAAAGGCTAAATTCTAAAACGATACAAAGTATCTATAACGCAATAATGTTAACTAAAAGCCGCATAAACTGCAATAAAATTTTATATTGAAAATAAGATTTAAATATGATACCATAAAACGACCCACTCAGTTATAGGCTTTTAAGATTTATGTGTATATAATATTTAAATGGTTTATTAATAAGAAGTTATTAAAATCTAAAATAAAACCAAGTATAGTATCTAACTATATAGGCGTATCTCAGACCAATATTTTTATTTTTTAGAAGAGTAGAGCTACTCAGCTACATCTTTATATTTTTTCTTTATAAGTGAAAAACTCCATTTCATTAATTTACTAATTTTGTTAATATATAATTGGCATTAAGAATGAAAATAAATTCACATTAATGTATTATGTATATAGCCATATAGGTGTTTCAAAAAGAACGCCCGATTGAAAACTGCTATAGATTAAATTTATTTTTGTAAAAATAAATTTGATTCCATGGACGGTGATTGAGGGAGCTTAGCTCCCCCAAAATTATAGAACATTTTCAAAGTATTAAATAAGTACATATTTTGCGACAATATAAAAAATAATTTAACCCCCCCCCCTATGTTTGATCCATAGAAGTTTTAATTCCGGCGTTCTTTTTGAGACACTATATGTGGTATATCTACTTTAATCAATAACTTTAAATTTTATTTTATTACAATTATTTTGTCTTTTAAATAATACATATCTAATACATCGTCATTCTTTAAAAAATTAACTATACATTGCTTTCAATATTGAAAATATCTAAGTTTAAAAAATAGCCTCATAACTCGTTCTTAGACGTTTGTTTGTTTCACTGAAGAAAACATTTTCCTTGAGTTGTTATCTTTCAATATGATTTTAAGGATGCTATGTAAATATCTGGGGACTTACATCAACCATTTATTTTATTTTATCGACTTTCAAGCAATACAACGTGTTACTGTGTGAATATTAACCATATAAAATAATCTTACAACATGATAAAAATGAGTAATGAATGTGATAAAAATGTTCATGTCTTTTAATTGATTAATGATAACGGTTATGGGCTTGTGGCCTGTTGCTCGTAACTTTAAGAGCAATAATAAGATTCTGCCGTCCTTAAATGTTTAAACAATTTACCGTCATCCGGGGGCAATGGTGCTTCAAGTCTCGCCAACCCTAATTACGTTTTTTTATCGTGGGTAATACGCTCTTCGTAGTCGGACATTCGGACACGGTATAAACTATACAGGTAATCTGTCGCGTACACTTCTACGAACGGAGTCGGTAACTCTTCGGTACGTAATACATTCACCATTATTTATCACTATCCACACGGTTACCTAGTATAGACACCAGCTACTACCGAAATACCTGTATTGATACATTACATCGCGAGTGTAGGATACGCATAATAACGCCGAACAAGTCGTAGACCTATAATAACTGGGTCTGTATTACAAAGGAACGAAAAATAGTGCGTGAAAGTTGCCCCCCTCTCTTATTCACCGCTATAAACATCCGCGGTCGACCTTTCGCCATCGTAATATCGTACGCACAACTATTACATACCTACTATATTTTATAGGTACTATACCTTATACGCGGTGTTATGTACATAATATACCTAATAATACGACCAATCCATCGTCCGCAGCAATAACTCGGCTATCTTGGCGGTAGGCAATCAAATTTATAGTAGGTAACGAGTGATCATTGCGATGAGTGTCAAGTAACGACTAACGACTAATGAGTAAACGATTTTTAAATTATAGATAACGACAATATTAATACTTGAACAGTAAACCGTAAATACCGTCCAATACGGCAATACTATCGCAGTAGAATCCTATCAGATTAAGTGCTGTATTGTCGCCCGCAATTTTATTCAATTTTAAAAGTAAAAATCGCGAGGGATTTTATTATATTTTCAGTCCACTCTACGACGGTGGCGCTACCCAGCGTCGGCAGTGACGTCACGCGCTACGACAATACAACAATAATAATATCACTTTTACACACATTCATTATTATTGAAGCAGTTGATATTAGAGGCAAGGAACGCGTATAATGGCAATAGTTTAATAGTGATTACGACGGCGACCTGTGAGTAAGTTGTTGTGCCGATAACGTTCTGAGTACCGTCTATTGTACGTTCTTTCTCCACCGCTGCCATCATCGCTTAGAGTCCGACGTCTTTACGACACTGACGTCGTGGCTCACCCGTTGAAACGATACGAAATCTTCGACCGTTGTCAAACTCGATAGTTTGAGGAAATTTTACAAAAGAGTTTTTTAACGGGTCCGGTCGGAACGTCGCCATCGCCCGCTCTTCACTTCTAGTCATCACTATCGGTGTTGTGTGTCTGGTTTTTAATTGATAATTATTAATAATATTATATTATTATTGTTGTAACACAACTGGTGTATACAGCGCCCTCTCCGCCACTGCCGTATGAACACCTTCGCGTGTGTCACGTACGTCGTACATTCAACAATTATAATTCAGCGACGTCGACAATGTGTTGTCGATAGCCGCATATGGTAGTTGGCAGCGGACTAAAGGTTTTTGTTTATTTGTTTCCCGTTGGATTTCTTTACCGAATTGTCGATCTCTGCAGGTATAACCGCGTCATTACACTCGTCACAAACACAACATGTGGAAAGTACGAGAACTCGCTGATAAAGTGTGAGTACTGAACTCAGACGATAACCTACTACGATCTATCCTTTCCTATATACTGATTGGTTACCGTTATTAGTAATGACTATTGAATTAACATATACATTTTATATTTATAGAACCAATGTAGTCCTCAACTATACAGAAATTGAAGCCAAAGTTAGAGAAGCCACTAACGATGAAGCTTGGGGTCCAACAGGTAAAATAGTTTTTCATTATATATTTCATTTCTTTGTACATTTTTTTAGAATTTATGTGTTTTTATTTGTCCATAGTATGTAAAGTAAATGATCATAATTAAATCATTGTATTCACTTTTCACTTAAATAAGAGTATGGATCAATTTTTTGTTGATAGGAAATAATAATACACATAAAGTTATATTTTACAAAAAATTTTCAATTGACAGGTAACTTAATGCAAGAAGTAGCACAAGCAACATTTATGTTTGAGCATTTTCCAGAAGTTATGGGAATGTTATGGAAACGAATGTTATATGAGAACAAAAAAAACTGGCGAAGAACTTATAAGGTGAGTGATATTAATAAGATAGACAAGTAAAACATTTATGTGTGTGAGAATTAAATATTTGTTTTATTATTTATTTATCATTTTATTGAACCTTATGATTTTTATTACAATTAAATTAATGTATGTTATTAACTTTTTAATTAGGTATAACATAATTATACATTATTATACCTCATTTTCAACTTCATTATCGGGAAAACTCATTATTAAAATCATTATACATGTTCAATATAAATTATTTATGATTGTTTTTATAAAATACAGTACAAATATTTTTAAAACTACATATTTATAATAACTATAACAATCTAAATTTGCATTGTCTTTGTTTTAAGTTATTTAGTATTTATTAAAATATATTACTTATTTATAATGTATAATAATTTATAATATTTTTACAGAGTCTATTACTGCTAAATTATTTGGTTAAAAATGGATCTGAAAGAGTGGTTACATCAGCACGTGAACACATTTATGATTTAAGAGGATTAGAAAACTATTCTTTTGTTGATGAATTTGGAAAAGATCAAGGAATTAACATAAGGTATAAATGTTGTCTTACAATTTAGATTACTTAAATTGGCTAAATTAAATTAAGTTATATTGTAATTCATTATTTATAGACATAAAGTGAGGGAGCTGATTGATTTTGTACAAGATGACGATAAGTTGCGAGAAGAAAGAAAAAAAGCTAAAAAAAACAAAGACAAATATATTGGACTATCCAGTGAAGCCATGGGTTACAAAGGAGCAGGTAATGAGAAATTTAATAAGTTGTAAGTTCATTTTTACAGTGAATATTTTATTAATTAGGAGTTGATAAGTGGGATGATGCGCCTAGATGGAAAAAGGACAGTAACAACGAATTTAGTGACAAAAAAAGTAGTAGTACACTGGGTTTTGAAGAATCACCTAACAACAGGTAAATATATATAAATATCTGTATAAAGGTAGGTTAGGTATATTATACTTTATTCACGTTAAGAAGGAACCTCAGCAGCAATCACCATTAGACAATGGTCAGCCAATCTAATGTCAACCATCTGTAGTAAAGCCACGCCCCCATGTAAAAGACTTGAGGTTCCTCATTAACATTAATAGAGCTTAGGCCGGTAAATTGTTTGATTATAACATTTTGGAGATAGATTAATATTTTAAGTACCAGTATTCACTAGCTTACATATTTTTATGTAATTTTTTTATAGTGATGAAAATGATATAGTGGATTCAGAACCAGAACTTGATTTGCCTCATAAACCTTCTGCAGAAGCTTATAAAGATCGTAGTATGTCACCTACCAAAATTCAAAGTCCAGCCAAACATAGAACACCTATTAAACGCATTGATTTGGGTGCAGCAGCACATTATGGCAAAACACAAACTGTGATCAATTCTCCAGTATCTACCAATAATCCCTTAGATACAGAAACAAGCTCTGTTGATTTGTTAAATATTGTAGGCAACAGCAATAAGCATTCAAATGATTTTGGAGATTTTAATGCAGTTTTTAATGCTGCTCCAAATACCAACATTGCTGTAGAAAATAATAGGTAATTTTATAATTATAATTTATAAATTAGATTTAAAAATATTAATTTAGAATAATGTTATTATTTTTTATGTACTATGAAATATTATTAGTATAAATAAATAAAAAGTCCCTTGTGAATTTTGATAGAGTTTTTACTCAAAACGTGTAATTATATCGAAAATGTAAGCTTAAAACAAAAAAGTTACAAATATGCATAAAATGTTAATAAATTGTTAACAGATTTTACTAATTTAAAAAATATATGTCAAAATGACAATTAAACTTTTTTTCTTTAAAATTTACATTTTTATTGAAATTGTATTAATATATCAAGCAACAAATAAAAACATGTCGCGTTCCCACATCAATTATTGGCATCACTGCCTTAACTAAGAATGACGGTGTTTGATCATAAAGTAATTTGAATGGTGATTAATGATTATTCTCATCTAAATAATTGGGAGATCAGGCAACATTCAATGATTATTTGTGCATGCGCAAATTGATGTAATTTAAAATCAATTAGAATATAATAGAATGTAATATATTAATTAGAAAAATAGTATAAACCATTTATTGTAAACAAACAATTAGTATTGGATGTCATGAAAGTAAGAATTTGAAATTTTTATATTTAAATTATTCTAAAATTGCTAATACTTACTACTAAGTATTCAAAGTCTGATATAAAACATATTATTCATAATATTTAATTTTTTTTTATTTTAGCAACAGTAATGATGAATTTGCTGATTTTAGTTCAGCATTTACTCAATCTATGTCTTTAAACAGCAATTCAACTAATTTATGTAAGTTTTTTTTTCCTATTCAATTTCTGGTGAATGTCAGTTATAATACCAACAAATTGATGTTTTTTTAGCTAACCAAAAGATTATTTCTAATTCCGATCTCCTAACATCGTTACCACAGACATCTACAAATGGAACAAGCCGTAACTTGTTAGATTTGAACTTTGATGCTTTAGATAACACAGGTAATATACCTATCATATATATATAAATTTACAGAAATATTATTAGCTATTTCAATTAATTAATTGTATTTTAACAGTTGAAATGTGCTTTATAATTTTAGTAGAAGTTGGTTTCTTTAATATTTTATACAGATAAGGTTAGAAAACTGGATTTTTTATTATAACTTTTCAGCAACTGGAATGATGTTGAAGACACTTCTAGAATCCATTCACCAACATTCAGATTCAAATATTAAAAGAATTTTGCAAGAATTTATTGAATATTTGCCTGGTCCAATGACTCCTCAAAAATTTACAAAACTTGATTGTTACCCAAACTATTCTCAAGTTATCAAAGTATACAGCCAAATACTTGAAATAATTTTAGAAAAAATTGATTTTGTTGATTATATCGATTTGATTTCACCAATATTTGCCCCAGATGGTGGTACCTTAGAAATGTTAGACATATCACTACATATTTTATTGAACTATGTCAATTCAAATGCATTATCTCTTAGAACTGATAATGCCATAGACTTAATCAGCTTAATATTAACAAGTGATTTTATAAAATCTTCATTGATTACTGAAACTTTAAATTCTAACCATAATCGTTTTATTGTTGTTATTGAATTTTTATTGTCATTGCCACATAGACTAGCTAACAAAGTTGGTAAGAATATACCTAAATTGTTTACTCCTGTAGAATTTTCAAACAGAATAATGAAT